TGGCCCTGGTAAGTGGTTCAAGGCCTCTGTCTGGAAGAGCCCCGCCTCGTGACATGAAGAGGACACAGTTTTTAGGTCTGATAGACTTGAGTTTGAACACTAATTCCAGTTAATGATCAGTTTTTGGCCATTATGCTAGCTGACATTATCAGGCGCTTACTCTGTTCCAGACTTTGTATTTAATTAGCTCTACATCCCTTATTTTAGGCCTCCTATAAGTTAGATATATTTATCTCCCTGTTTCATATGGATGAATAAAAATCCAGAGTGGTTAAATGTTTTGCCCGTGATCACGTGATGCATGAGTCGCTGACCTGATGTGTGCTCTTGACACATGTGCTGTTGTTGGGAGTCTTATTGGCCTATTGGTAAAATGGGAAAAATTACTTATTTTTAGAATGTGGTTTAAACCCAGTACCTTCTGAAAAAGAAGAATGAAGCCCTGGAAAGTACAGAAAGGTGGCTTTTCAGACCAGGAGTGGGATTAAAATTCTGCATCACTGCTAAGGTTAGGGTAGAGCTGGTAGCAGAGGGAGGGCCCGGGCAGCTCACGTAACTCTTGCGTGTGAACCTGCTGGAGGCTACTTGCGTATGTGGCTTGGGCTTGGCTGATCTGTGCTTCTGAGAAGTGGCCTTTGACTTGACAGCTCAGTGCAGGGACTGCAGAGGAAATAAAAGATGAGGCCAGGGCAGAGGGGGATGGAGGTTATTACCTAGCTAAATGCTCTTCAGCAGAGAAAATTCAACTTGAAATACAACTTCTCTCCTCTCTTTCCTAATGGAAAATGAGCAAGTCCAGACAGATTTCATGCAGCTGTGAAATCGGGACACATCCAATGCAGTGACTTCTAATAAATGTTGCTCTTAGCACAGAGTCCCAGATTGTGAACATAGTGCTGTGCATTTGCATAGTGACAGAGGCTTACATACCTGTGACCTGTGACGTTTCCCTGGTTGAGGATTTGAGGTCTGAGCTCTGGGACAGTATCATTCTCAGGTTAATTCTTATTCTTAACACGTAGTCCCTTAACGTGTACGTCAGTGTCCTTGAGACAGTTTCCATAAAGGAAGTCTTGATTATCAACTTCTTACCAATAAGTAACAACGGAATTCTGTGCTCTTTCCAACTCGTTTTTATTCTTCAGGTCAGAACCTTTATGAGTCAGGGATAAGTAGGAAGGGGAGAAGTTGGTTCATAGATGCTCGTATGCCTGTCTTGGAGAACTGCCAGTAAGTTAAATCAACTGATTCTGGCCTGCAAACCTGGCATTAATAGATGTGAGTTTAGCGCGGTTTCTCTCAACACAGTCTGCGGGGTGACCGTAGTCCTATGTAAAGTTTCTTTCTTATTGTTCCATTGTGGCATGTCAGCACCATTAATTTCATGTAGCAGCCCCCTCCTAACCCACTCCATCCCCTTGTGACTAAGCAGGATGAGAAATATTTTTCTTTCAGGAGGTCAAGTAGCTTAATTAAAATTTCGGCCATGTCTGTCCTTCATAGAGGTTGGCGAGATTGAATGCAAGGAGGGGGATATTGATTGGAATGTGATAAAAACAGAATTACCTACAAGTTTCCAAGAATTCTTTTCTTTGTCAAGCCAGCGTCAATGTGTGGGCATGATAAGACTCATGCTGAGTCCTCTTAAGTCCTTTAAGCGTCTAGAGCTGGGGATTTTGTAGCTAAGAATGACACTTGTGTCTCCATCATTGTGTGTGTGGGGTGGGTGTGGAGGGGGTGTGTGTGTGGGGGTGTGGGGTGTATGTGTGTGTATGTGTTATATGAGTGTTTTGTTTTCATGTTTTGTTTTCAGTTGTGCTTTTTTTAACCTCAATGTAAGGTAAGTTATAGTTTCTCCGGGGCTTCAAGCCTATTTATCAACTGTCAGTCATCTCAGTAGCACGTCATCCTCCGTAGGTACAGAGTGTTCCTAAAGCCTTTAGCCTTCCCTTATTTGTGCGGTTACTTCTGCTTACGTGTTCCTAAGTGCTCTCTTACCTGGATATTTATTAAAAGGGCTTTATGAAAGAAAAGTGAAAGCAAAGACTAAGAAAGGCATTATTTAAGTGACAGGTGGTATTACCTGGAACATTATATTCATCTTTCTTCTTCTTCATATGAGTATGAAGAGTAGGTATTCCCGAGAAGACAACCAGCAGCAGCTCCGGCACGGGACTAGGGCCACTTCCCTGTGGTTACTGTGTCGTCAGTCCTGTCTTCCCCACACCTGCAGTCCAGTGTGCTCTGGAGAACGAGAGGATCCTCATGCTCTATCTCAGCAGCTGGGGCTGCTCTAACAAACTGCAGCATTTGGGCTACTTGGGCAGCAGACGTTTATCTCCCAGGGTTCGAGAGGCAGGGAAGCGCAAAGCCAAGGTGCCAGTGGGGTTGGATCCTGGTGAGATCTGCGTCCTACCTTGCAGACAGCTGCCTGGGCATGCTGTCCTGGAACCAAGCGCTCCCTCTCCTGTCGTCCCAGCCCCTGTGTGCCTCTGCCTCAGGACCTCCCGGAAACCACACCCGCAAAGACCATCTTGCTGGGCATGAAGTCTCAGCATCTAGATTGGGAGGGCGCAGACATCCAGTCCATAGCACTCTTCAGAGAAAAGTTAATTTTCTGCAAATGTGTTCATCTGGCAGGCACTGTGATTGTGACTGTGCTGGGTTCCTCCAGTGGCCCAGAGCCCCGAAGCCCCGCGGCCTCAGCCCTGGGAGTGCAGGTGATGCTGTGTATCCCTGGCAGAAGGCGCGGAGTCCTGCCGTCTTGTTTGGGAGAAGAGGCATTGTATGTGTTTAAAATAAAAGCCTGAGATTGCCCTCTATAGTAGCCCAAAAATAAGCACTAGGGAGAGTCAGAGGAGGGAGCAGATCACTGTGAAACAGAAGATGGGAATCGGGTGTGGGTGGATCGCTTAGATAGGTCTGAGAATATGGACCTTCTCTCGGGACAGGGATGGTGCTAGGGAGGCCGAGTGGAGCAGAGGCCTCTGGTTTCCTGGAATAATCGCCACCAATTTCTTCGTCCTTTTTCTCTTAATGAAATAGTTTCAACACTTTCCCACACCTTGGTGGCTCTTTCCTGTCTGCACCCAGCTTGTGTGAGGTCTAACTGATCACCTGTGGGGCTGCCTGGTTAGGAAATCGTCCCCTGGTGCACGCTGTTTGCAGCCGTCGCCTCCTTTCTCCCAGGCCGCTGGGCGGTGGCTGTTGATTCTTCTGCCGATTCCAGAACTGAGCCGACAGAGGGCTCGTGGCTATGATTGACAAAGAATCTCAGAATCCAGAATCTCTGAGGCAAGGAAAAGAACAGGGTGAAATAGGAGGAGTGATGCTAAGACAGACGCTGAGAGCAGGACAGGTTGGCCTGCCTGGCGTCGCGCCTTCTCTTAGCTGAGAATTCAGCGGCCCCATCTCAGATCTCCTCTGTCCAGAATATCGTTGGTCCGACCCAGGTCATTGCAGGCATCCAGAGTAAGCAAGTATCTGTTAGCGAAATCCTTGGTTACCCCAAATTAGCTCATATCCTTTACTGCTTGTTTCCTCTGATTATATAGCACATACCCAAACGCCCAATTATCCAGAATCAACCAGGGCTGCTGTTCTGTGTGGAGAACACTTGACAGTGGCTATGATTATCTTGCCTAGACCATGGCAGCACCTTAGACTTTGAACTGCCTGTCACTTTAAGACTTTGAAATGCTGGTTCTTGTCGAAGCCAGACACATCTCCTGAGGAATCGTTTTGCTGGGCACTTTGCCCCTTCTGGAACCTCGGTCATCCTGAAAGTGCCCCGGGACACTCACGGAGTTTGGCTCTTCTGTCTCAGTCCCATTTGTGTATAATGACTGGTGTCTGAGTCTCTGCCCCATATTGCTGCAACTCAGGTCCGTCGGTTTCTGGGTCACTCTTAGAAAGTGGACAGAACCTGATTACTAATGAAAAGTTGACTCATTTCCTTCCAGGCAAAGACTAACAATGATTATCAGAGTTCATAATTAGTCTTCCCAGAAGCAAACTCTCTAATTATGGACGTCACCTAATTCTTTTCTAAATTTAATAAGAATTAGTGACAGCTAGGGAAGGGGGTGAAACAGACATTTGTGCTGTGCTGAGGGGATATATAAACATGCTCTCTGGATAAGGTACTGTAGGAATTTAATGAAATGACTGATTCCCTGTGAGTTTAAATTTGGTTCATCTCTTCTTGGACCAGAGTTCTGCGCGCGCACACACACACCCCAGTCATTTTTGGGCTTGTGTAATTTACCAGCAGGTCAAATTCCATAAAGAGGTTGCAATGTCTGCCACCGTTTTGTGCCAAAGCAAATCAGCCCTGGTGGCAGCCAGCTGTTGGGGGAAGAGCACTGATGAGACCTTTTTTTTTTTTGCTTTTAGCTTTAGAATTTCTTTTGATTGTTCATATCCTATTTAAGAGTATTATTTTTTCCCCCTTTTACTTGTTCTTCGCTTCCTTCTGCTAACTGTGAGGAGTTCGTTTGGAAGTGTGAGTTGTGCAACAGTTTATTTACACAAGTGTGTATTAAAATGTGCACTTCGAAGGGTGTTAGGCAGTGTGAGGCTATAAAGGAAGAAACCCAGGCACAGCTCTTGCCTCAGGGAGCCTGTGCTTGGAGTGGGTTCACTGTCAGGACACACAGCCCCGACCCCAGCACCAGCACCATGTCAGCCCATCCTCGCAGTGTGGCGGGGAGCACACCAGGTAAGGTTGTTGCCCGCAGTCAGGAGGTGAGGTCACCTTCCCTTCCATCTTGGTTTATATGAGGGGAGCCCAGGCTGCAGGCAGGTGATGTACTCTGTGTCACATCACCGAGTAGAGTGTGGACTGGGACGAGAAGTTGCTTCTCAAGCCCTGTTACGCAGCCTGAAGCTTCAGCACGATTTCTTTTCATTCTTGGTACCAGCTGAGAACTGGTGTGGGTAAGCATCCATCCGTGTGTGCGTGTGCATTTGTGTTTATGCAGAACTGCAAAAAGCCAACATTTAAACTCCAGTGACTCACTTTTATTTCACAAAACGGTGTGGACTTTCGAGTTCCTCTTTAGTGGGACTATCCTATGTTACTATCCAAGGGGCCACGGGCATACCCAAGTGGAATCATCCATTTTTAGAGTTAAAGGGAACAGTAGAGATGATTAGGCCTAGCGTCTTGTGTTATTATGTGAGAAAGCAGGTGAACTGCACAGAGGGAACGTGGCTTCCTCGAGGCCGACATCTCGTAGCAGAGGCCAGGGGAGAGGACCATGGTGAATCGCTCTGTGGCAGTGATCTGGGGACATACATAAATAAACAGCATGCTCGTTACATTCTTAACCAGATTAAAAAACTTATAATGACTAAGATTTCACAAATCCCGTGTATATAGACTAGACCTTTTCAGGGAGTTATGTATGTTCTCGATATTTCTATTCTAGGCTACATGATTTTGTTTAGGTTTGCTCTGAAAACCTCACCAAAGGCACGGGTTTCTCGAGAGAATGGCGTGAGGGCCTGAGGCCCACGGGGGTGGCCCTTCCCTGACCCAGCTCCAGACAAGGAGCCTCTAGAGCCGGTGTGAGGACCCTGGCTGTCATTTATGCCATGGGGTCTGGCGTAACACTGTGTCTTGATCAGACTGGGGAGACTTTAGTTAGCGCGTGGGCCTGGTGGCCGAGGGTGTGGCTAGTTCAGGCACGCTCAGACCTCCAGGGTCTGGGGCCTTTGTCTCCATCTTTTGTTTTTGTGGTGTTGGTTGCAGTGCCTCAGCCCCTGGAGTGTTACCCCCCAGTGCTTGCTTGATACCCACTCTCTCTGGTTGGGAAGGCCACAAATCACTGCAATAGTTAAGATTTCTTGACCTTTGGTCCAGTCTTTTAAAGGAAGTAGCGGTTTTTGTCTTGAGTCACCACATCTGGGCCATACACCATAATACCCCCCGCCCCTGATGGCTATTATTTTTATTCATTTTGGTCCTGATGATGCAGAAGTGTGGCAGAGGACAAGCGCTACCCTTCTGTCATTTGAGCATCCTTCTCAAATTAAACTTCGTGTATAACAAGTGCTTTCTAAAGTCACCTGATGTCCAGGAGCAGAATGGTCACCTCAGTCGTAACCTGGGAACCAGAGACTTTCTTCTTACAGTGCAGGGTCATAAATGAAGGTTTTTGCAGCTAAGAGGCAAAGTGAGGACATAAGGTAGGTGCTTAGACACTCACTGAAAATGTAGCCATTTTTACTGCCAAGAAAGAAGACATTAATTAAAATGAAGCCATTTAAAATATGTCTTTAGCAGGTTGCTGCTGCCCTCCAGGCACACCCTGCAGGCCACTCCTGGAGCACCTCAGGCCGGGGCGGGGCCACAGACTCTATCCTCCGTGGTCAGTTTTTTCTTTTTTTAATATACAAAAGAAATTCTCGAAGCAGATGTCACTGGAGTTAGAACAAAGGCTTATATGTGAATCCTCCGTTATCAGTGCTCGGTTGAGGCCTCCTTTTTGCTTGCGAGATCAGGACCAGGGGTCTGCTGAGACCCGGTGACATTAATGCCCAATATTAGCAAAACAGATGAAAACATTCTTTTTTTTTTTTTTTTTCCCTTCGACAATAACTGTTCTTTTATGGCCACAGAAGTAGTCAGTGTTGTGAGATGCCATCAGCTTCATGTGAGTGATCCTTGTTATGTGTCTGAGTGTGGTCATGAGCAATGCAGCAACTGTATCCATTCTTCAAGCTCACAGTGTGGGGAAACAGCCTGGCCCAGCACACCCGGCCGCAGCCGTGTGGTCCACAGCTGGAGCACATGGGCCCAGGCCCCCCAGGCCGGGTCTGCAGGGGCCCTGCGTGCACTGAGCATTGTGGGTTCTGCTGCTGTTTTTGTTGTAGGAGTGCAGGAGCACACACAAGAAAGCGCTGGCGTCGTACTTTTAAAAGAAACAGCCTAGTCGGTGTCTAGGTGTGTGTCAGGGAAACTGCCCCATTAGAGCACATTTACCTGCAGAATTTTCCTTTGTCCAGTGGAGACAGAGACTTTGATTCCCTGCAGCATGTCGGGCACAGGTGATGGCAGTTTCCCAAACCAGGAACACTGTTCTGAGTTAGCACGGGTAGGGAGCTTTTCTCAGACAACATCTGTGCGCCCTAATAGTGCCTCGTTTTAGGCTCAGGGTTACTTTACTTATATACCTTCTATGTTTCTCTACTTTCTCTTTTTTAAACATTATCATCTCTTGGCCAAAGGAGTCTTTGTAGCTTTTTCCCTAATTGCATCTCCTTCCCCCAAATTCTAGTACCATAGATATGCATAGATAATCTCCTGTGGCCCTCAGGAGGCTTCAGACCAATGTAATAGTGGATTTTGTTTTGAGCCCCTACGACCCTTTAAGCCATGGTACTATTTTTTAAGGGAAGTAGTGATTTTGTCTTGAAGTGTAAGACTAGACACTGACATTTCTTTTTCCATGTACCCACTCTTTATTATTTATGGCTCTAATTAAGGCTATTGGGTGGACTTACAGGTGTTGCGGGGCATCTGAAGCCATAGTCCCAATTCATTGAGCGATTTCATGGACCTACTTGTATGATTACTTTTTTCCCCTGAGAATGATTTATTCAGAATTACAAAGAAGTATTTTTTACCCTTTAAAAGTTTCAAGAAATGCAGATTTCCCCCCTTCAGTTTACTCTCACATTCAAGTATGGTTTGATATGACTTGGGTGCAGTTTTTTTGAATTAGGAATCCTTTTGGAACTGTTTTGCTTTGAGAGATTTTTGTAATTCAGAATTTTGAATACGATCATCTCACATTGGCGATCAGAAACAGGTACCTGCGCTGGTTTCCCTTCCTTGGGATCACACTTAGTTTTCTCTGCTCCATCTGCAAAGACTCTAGCAGTTCATGCTGCTGAAGCCACTTTGTAGGATGGTCTGTCTCTCAGAACTCTGGGCTCCTGTAATCAGGGTTTTATCACAGGTTAATAAAAGTGCAAGAGAGAATCAAGGCATGTGCTTTCTCTCTCTCTCCTTTCTCTCACCCACCCACCCACCCACCTACCCACACTCACACACACACACACACACACACACACACAGAGTGGAGGGGGAGAGAGAGAGACAGAGAGACACAGAGAGAGACACACACACACACACACACACACAGAGAATACTTAATACTATGGGGGGAAATGTGATTAAAAAAATCTATTCCTTATGGGGTTTCCCCCCAATTCAAATGATTTAGGGGTGAGTGAAGGCTAAGAAGTTCCACATATATCAGTACTCTTAATTAGTTTTGAAAATCCTTTGGGTAAATAGTTCAACCTCCTCTTGTTCCCAAACTTCTGTTATAATTAAAGAGGCTTTTTAAGGTGTAAGGACTCTGTGGAGCCTTGCACGTTGCTTGCCCTCTGACTTCTGTTAAGAATACAAGCCCTGGTGAGCTGATAGCTTTGGGGGTGCTAGTTACTATGTCAGGCCCTGGGAGCATGGTGTGAAGAGTTCTTAGTCATTGGGGAAGGCAAATAATCATTATAAAGGATAACAAGGGACGTGACATGTCAGGGTTACAGGAACGTATTGCTGGGCTGTCAGGCCTGTTTCTCAGGGGAAATAACATTGAAGCTGAGGCTGGAGGAATTTTAGGGTTTCGCTAGGAGAGGAGGGTGGGTTTGAGGTGTGGGCAGAGGGCCTGCATGTGTCTGGAGGGGAGGGGTGACTCCTGCAGCCCCCTCAGGAGGAGAGAGGCCCAGCAGAGTAGGTGCCCAGTGGGGGGGCAGCCTGGGGGTGAAGTCACCACCGAATCTCCTTGCTTGAATACAAGACACAACGTCAGACCCACTGAGGATGCTGTACTCTCTGACAGCGCCTTGTGCTTTAATACCCACAGCAGCGCCCACGGACGCTTGAGTGTCCGCCAAACACCTCCAAGCACCCGCACCCCTTTGGCAGGACCTTGGCTTGACGGCAGACCATGGGCGCTGGCCTGCCTGTTGCCGGAAGGGGTGTTTCTTCAAACTCATATTTTAGGGTGTGTTTGCTGTATCTTACTGAAAAGTGGACATTTCCTCAGGGCCTGGCGCCGTGAAGTGTGTGTGAGGGACTGCTCTTGTGCTGGGACAGAGGAAGGACCACCTTCTGCCACCTCTCATCTCCAGCGGCCCATGTGCTGGCGGCCTTCCGGGCGTGGCTGAAGGGGCCCCCCTCTGCTCCGCCCCGCCCAGCGCCGAGCTGGGCTCTGGACACCACCGGGCCCAGGCTGTACCTGGAGGGCCTGAGCGCAGCCCGGTCTCCCGCTCGGCGGGTGCTGACCCAGTCCAGCGAGGGTGGATGGTGCGTCGCCAGCGTGAAGGCCGGGCCACCGTGGCTCCTCCTAGGCTTGGATGGATGAAAACCAGCCTGTTTGTTGCTGTGCTCAGGCAAGGGAGGGGGAAACCTGAGCACAAGGAAACAAGCGAAGTGGCGCTTCAAGGGACAGTTCCCAGCCCGACCATTCCCCGTGAAATTCTTTTCCTGTGGGAAACTTGTAATTTGGAAGCATTCAGCCTGATGTGGGAACCAAGATTAACATTTTCTGAAATACTTCTACAAGAAAAGCAGAAATGTTCTGCTCAGGAAGCCGAATTTACATAGTAGAAAAATGGGCCCTCCTGCACTATATAGTAGTCTTTGTGTATTAGTTGTGGTAAGAAGTTGTGTGTGGGGGAGGGGGCAGGGGAGCAGGGAGAGGAAGAGAGAGAGAGAGAGACAGAGAAGAGATTGCATGTCAAATCAGGGGGGCCCAGAAAGCGTGCTGCACCCCAGCCGGCCGCGCGGCTCCCCCGGCCCTGCACAGGAATACTTCTTGCTTTGTGTTTTTCCTTCTTGCTGAGTAAGCAGTAGTAGTTCCTTTTTCTTTCTTTCTTTCTTCTCTGGGGGAGGGCGCTGAGTGGGAGTGGGAATAGCGAGAAGTCAGCATGACAGTGGCTTCCCTTTCCTTCCCCACCACTTCACCAGGAAGTGAGCTACCCTACCGTCCTCATGCACTTAAAAAAACACCAGTTAGTGAGCGTAACCCAGTGGTTGCTTGACGCAGACTTACAGAATTAAACAGCCCACAGCGAGCTGCCTGCCCGGAGGTCCCGGCGGAGGTGAGGACTCCGTCCCGCAGGCCGGGCCTCCTGAATGCCAGCCGCGCTCTGCAGGCTCGGGGCCTTGGGAAGTTCCTCGCTGGGCCTTGGGAATGCAGTGTTATATAGAACTTTCACTGGTTACAGTTAGCCTTGGCTGTTAGCAATTATTTTTATCTACTTTAAGGGGGGGGGTGCGAGTTGGGGGCAGGAAACCAAGCTGGCATTATGGTCCCAGGAAAGAACAGCCTGGTTTGCGGCCTTTTCAAACTGCAGACCTTTGTCACTGACCAAGGCTTAATTTGGTTTCTGGGTTTTGTTGTTTTTTTTTTTTTCCCTCTGCCCTTACCTCATTTACCTTAACGATAGCTCCCCCCTCTAGAGCTCAGCCAGGGCAGCCTGCCACTGCGGATTGGGGGGCCCGAGAGGCCCAGAGCAAGAAGAAAGTGGGTTGAAAGCAGAGTTCTGTTTAAAGAATTTTCTGCTGGAAACTAGCCCAGAGGGAGTAAAGAGAAGCTTTAATGAGGAGCAGCTGCAGGGCCGGGGCAGCCCACATGAGACATTTTTTCCCCTCCGTTCTACATTTTGTATAGTTTTTAAAAAATCATGATTTTGAAATCGTTGTTTTGTAAAGCACGCCTTTCTTTTTCTTCTTTTGTATGTCGTGGGGTTTTTGCTTTGTTGTTTTATTTTTCTAATGGCCAGATCCTTGCTAAAAAAAGCTAGAGGCAGAGCTGCAGCCCGGCCCTGGCTACAACTTGGGCTCACCCCGCTGATCCTCAGAACATTCCGGGAGAAAACAAGGAGAGAGAACACAGGCTTTTATTTGGAAAAGGGGCTTATTTCCTGCTCAGACTTCAGTCATCTTGGAGCTGACACAAGCTGCTACAGTGTTTTACGCTTTTCTGCGGACGAGTGGCTATTCACTTAGGAAACTTGAAAGAACAAATTTTTCTGCACTGTATTACCAGGGAGACTGGTCCTGAGCGCCAGCCATTGCAGCCGCTGAGATTGCCATGCAGATCCAGCGTCCTTGAGCTGGGGGAAGAGGCCTCATGCAGACGAGTCCAGGCTGCTGCTGACATGCGAGAGCTGGGGTCTGGTTTTCATCTGCTTTATTGAGTGGGGACTGTGTGGGGATTCTGCAAATGGGATGTTTTCCAGCCCCATTAGGAGAATCCCTTGTTTTTCTCTGTTTTCTCCCCCTCTCCCTCCCCGTCACATCATCCTCCAAGTGTGTGTGTGTGAACAAAAACAATGAGGGCGGACCTCTTCGTGGCAGAAACGGCAGACTTTTTCAGAAAAAGGCACGGGTTTTATCTTTATGAACCTGATTACCAGCCAGGTTAGTTCTGCAGGAAGAAAGGCCTCCCCTCCCAGACTTCGCCTGTATTCACAGTCTCCTAGGTGATCTGTATTCTTCCCGAGTCCCAAAGCCCAAGAAGGGGGAGAGAACACGAGGAAGTCACTGAGAGAAGGCCTGAAATCACCATGAATTCCCAGCAGGAAGGCAACGTTCATACAGCCTCGGGACAGAGGGAACTGCCGGGGTTATTTTTTGAAAGTATTTGCATATATCTTTAGCATGCAAGATGCATGCTGTGTTTCAGAAACTGTACTGGGATAACTTATTAGAACTGTAGATTTGTGAGGGGACTTGGGTCCTTAGTCTGTTTCCAGCCTCTAACCAAACTCAGCATGGGCCTCCCCAAGAAGAGCGCTCTTGTTTTCAGCCAGAGGTTCTTAGTCCCTGCTCAGGCCTGCGGGTGTGTGTTCCTGTGTGTGCAGAGACATGCAGAGTGGACATGCAGGGTGGACAAGCAGAGTGAGGCCCTGCTTTGGAGACGGGGGGCCTTGTTTCTGGCTTGCCCACTTACCCATGTCGCCCCTTTTCTTCCTGTTGTCCTCAGTTTTACTTAACTTACTGGGGTATGAGGGATAAACGTCTACCTCCGGATGATTCTTAGGGCTGGTTTAGCTGATGTTCTTCCAGGCAGAGCACAGTGTGGGATTGGAAGGAGATTTTATAGCTGATTTAGACTGAGATACTGACTTTATCCATTATGTGAAGTGGGACCTGCTTTAGAACCAGTCGCTTAATGATACATAGGCATGTGCCCTTCACACACAGTCTGCCTGAAAGGGGGTTTGAAAGGGGGTGCTGTGTGACAGTTAGGATGGTAGAAATAACAGAGGCCACTCTTGGGCCAGGCCCTAGGAGAATACGTTTAGTTAACTGTTGTTTTGTGTTTTGATAAAAGATCTAAGATAAGGATACAGTCGTAAATGATGCAAAGCTGGGCAAATTTGCTAGATTCACAGACAAAATTGGGGAGGTCAGTTAGCTTTGATGTCCTTATCAATGAAATAGGGGTTCGGACCAGTTGACTTCCGAACTATGGTGCAGTGCTGAAATTCAGTGATTATATGAATAATGTGTGGAAGTTTCCTCAATCAAGGAAACTGGGGTGAGGATTCAGCATGGTGGATTTTTTTTTTAAAGATTTATTTATTTATTTATACAAGCACTGGGTACAGTCAGAAGCATGGGACAGTGAGAGAATTCACCAGAGCCAGAGCGGGGAACAGAATAGGCAGACCGAGGAAGTACACTGCTGAGGGGAACAGCGGGTGGCAGGAGAGGTCTGTGCGCCATGTGGGTCCCTCGCCCGGTGGCCGGGGATCGAACCGGCGCTGCAGAGGCTGCGGGCAGCTTCGTAGCCCAGCGCTCAACTGCTGCGCCACCAGGGGAGGCCCAGCATGGTGGATTTAACCCTATTATTGGGTTCAAAAAACGTGTACAAGTATAAGATGAGAGAAATAGGGCATAGGAGAGTTCATGTGAAAAGAAGTTTGAGACTTTTTAACTGTGTTCAGTATAGTGCTTCGGGTCCTCTAACAATAGGAACACAACTTTAGGCTGCAATAGTAAAGCATAGTGTCTGGATCACAGCAGGGGATGATGATCCAGGGACCATAGTAACTGGGGCACTATGGATTTCTTAGATCTCCGGCACCCTGCTGACTGCTTATATTCAGGCAGAGGCTGCTGGTTTTTTTTTCAGGGTTATGTTAGAAAGACACCTCTCGTTGGTGGAAAGTACCTTACAGCTCCTTGAATCTCAGCGTTCTGTTATTCCGAGGATGGATAGAAGTAGGGAAAAAGCCAGCCACGAGATGTCTGACCCGACTTTTAAGATGACCAGAATTCGTATCAAAAAGGAAACCATGAATATGAATATTATAGGAACGCAGTTAAATCAGACTTGTCAGAACATGGTAGTAAATTACACATAACTAAATAGATGATCAGAAAGTGACTTTTGAGATTGTGAATGGGAGCCTTAGAAAAATGGAGAAATTAAAGTTCCATGGGAAAATGATACTGCTTTGCAGATGTTTCGTTTCAAGCACTGGCAGGTACTTTAGGACAGGTACATGACTCCGTAAACTAGGCATCTGGAACTGGAACTGTCTATTTGGGAATCAGTTACAGGAAGGCAGTTATTTTAAAACCAAGTGAACAACAAAACAGTCGCAGATGAGCGAAAACAGCCCAGATGTCCACTGTGGTGGGAGGGGAAGAGGAATAGGTAGTCCAGGCGAAGCCTTTGCCAAACACGGAGCTAGAAACGGGAGTCCTAGAAACCACACGTATGAAGACGAAAATGATGAAAGGGTCGGTGGGCAGTGCCTCTGCTGGGAGAGCTTCCTTGTGATGGAAGCCCCTGACTTACTGGGGGAAAGTCACGCTCTCGCAGCATAGCTGCTGGTAATACTTAGAACGCAACATTTGTTGCCCAGGGAGAATAGGAAGCAGGTAGAAAGGGAAATCTCTGTAGAGTTAGGCTACGGTTCTGGAAGTTTGGTTGTGTTTGGGGAGGGAAATGGACTTAGTGAAAAAGGAAGGTGAGAAGAGGCTTGTTTTATGGAGACCGAGTGGGTTGCTGCCTCCCCGGCCTTTGAGGTTCACGTTAAGTAAGAAATGAAGTTCATTTTTTCATACCAACTTTTTTTGTAGTTCCAGCTTCATGTAATAATAGGAGGGCCTCAGGAGAGCTGTACATTATACATCCGTATTATCTCCCCGTAAAACACTCACTCGTCTACAATGGCTTGAAAGGCCCTCATGCCCTGCCTCGTAGTTACAGCTTTCATCTGCTTTCTGAGAGCTTTTTTTCTTATTTTCTTTCCTGTGACCACAGAGGTCTCCTGGCTGTTCCCTTTCCCAGGACTTGGCATGTACTATGCCCTCTGCCTGCATGTACTGTCCCCCTGCCTGTCCCCTCTGCCTGTCTCCCTGCCTGTCCCTCTGTCTGTCCCCCCTGCCTGTCCCCTCTGCCTGGACGGCTTCCCTGGCACTGCCTGGCCGGCCCCTCCCCTTGTTCTCTTGACTCACTTGTGTTTTCTCAGTAAGGTCTTCTCTCAATTTACCCTTTTTTTTTTTTTTTTGGTAAGATTTATTTTTTTTTATTTATACATACAAGAACTAGGGTATAAGCCAGAGGTGCGGGGTGAGAAAATTCCCCAGAGACAGAGTGGGGAGCAGAACAGGCGATTCTACTGAAATACACTGCTGCGGGGGGAGCGGGCGAGACCAGAGAGGTCTGCTGCGCCATGTGGGTAGCTCCCTGGCTGGGGATCGAACTCATGCAGCAGTGGCTGTCGATTTAAGTGCTAAGACTTCAACCCCTCAGCCACCAGGGAGGCCCAGAAAAAAACCAAGATTATCTTACTGTATCTACTCCTGCTACTCCCATCTCTGCCTCTTCTATTTCCCTTTACTCTTCTGTTCTCTTTCATAGCACTTTACCTGACATATGGAACATCTTACTTAATAATTTTGTGTTTTTGTTTTTTTTTTTTTTAATCTTTTCCTACTAGAATTTAAACTCCGTAGTACGAGGATTTTCTTGCACTGGAACTATGTCTGGCCACAACAGGCACTTTCCTGTTAGTTGCTTAAATGAATGAGTTTCACATTTTTTTGTGGAAACTGACATGAGAACATTCTTCCTCCTCATCATTAATCTTTATTAATAAGCATGTTGAATGCTATTTATAGAATTAGAGTTCTGTTACTTGGGAGTTGGCAAAATTTTTCTATACAACACCAGAGAGTAAATATTTGTGCAGACCATATGGTGTCAGAGCAACTACTTAACCCTGTTATTCTAATGCAAAAGAAGCCGTAGACATTCCATTAATGAATGAAGGTGTCTGTGTTCTTGTAAGACTTTATTTATGGATGCAAATCTGAACTTTACATAATTTTGGAACACCACAAAATAATACTTTGAATTTTCTGCCAGCCGTTTAAAAATGGACAGGCCGTTTTCAGCCCCTGGACCGTTCATAACAGACAGCATGCTGGAAAGGGACCCTCCACGACATTCTGCTAACCTCCCCTTTCCCCTGGTTTCTTAAATATAACTCAGTTGAAACTTATTTTTCCATATTTGGTAGAGCCCAGCAATGTAGATTCAACTCTAGGAACAGATAATCCCACAATTCTTCTCTTTGACTCCAGAATCTTTCCTATTGTTTCATTTTTGTTTTCCAGGGAACCTTGTTTTCATTATGTGCTTATGATGCTCACATTTAAGAGTTTGTAGCCTCTTGGCAGATGTCTCTTGATAGTGGCGGTGGTGATGGAAGAGTCCAGGAGCAGAGCTGGGCAGAGGCCACCCAGGTTTAAAAGTTTGCCATTATTTATGAGCTGAATAATTCCCAGATGGGAGAATCAGGAGCCATCAGCCAGGCCTTTGCCCAGAGGACTGTCACTATGAATGAGAATTGTGTTGCAGTTTTTTTACTTTATCCATAACAGATTTCTTGAACAAATTGCAAATGATTTTAATAATATAGCTCAGAGTTAATTTTAGTTATGCTACATGGGCAGTTTTTGCTCTCTTAAAAACAACAACAACAACGTAGAAAATAACCAGTTCTATTATCAAATCAAGCTGTCATCTGAATAAAGCATATTTTCCTTAATAACTGCAAAGGGAAAAATGGTTTTCATTTGCAAAATATTTTAATAAAATTTTCAATACTTGATTTTGGTCATTTCTTACTACAACCCCACAATGTAGCCCGATCGCCTATTTCAAGTGGGAGAGAACTCACAGTGAGTTAAGTGGCTTACCCCAGGCCGGAGGACTAGGAGGCCAAGCAGGCCTCTGACCACGGAGGCCTCTGGCCGCAGGAGGTGCAGACGCCGCGCTGGGAAGGAAGTTCAGGGTGTCGGCACCCTGCCCTCGCCTCATTGCTTTACCTGCTGTCAAGCTGCTGGGCACTCGCGGCGCTAGGAGGGGGTGAGGAGGCCACGGCCCGTTACATCACCACCCCTGCAGCCACTTCCCGGCTCTGCTTCCTCCTTCAGCTGTGTTAGCTGCTGCATGATTATTCTGGCAGGTTCTTCTGTCTTACTTCCCTAATATCTGGCCCTCTTCCGCTCCTCGGTGGCTGTGACCCTCTGAAGATATCACCTTGCCAGTCGACCCAGTACAGCTAACGAAACGTACTTGGTGTGATTGGCAAAGACAGGAATGGATGAAGCAGGACCCGCTGCCTCCAGTCCGGACGGTTGGGAGAACCAGGATATGGTGACTAGGCACAGGAGGGCAGGAGCTGGTGCTCAGGGGGAGATTCAGAGTCTGGCTTAAATGTCACCTTGGAGGCAAATGGTGTCAACATTCTTGTGACTTTAGTTTTCTACATCCAAAAAGTCAATTGGAGAAAAAGGTTGAACCACACAGCTGAGGCAGCAGCCAAATGGCAGAATTTATAGTCAAATCAAAGTCTTCTTGTTTTTAAATGCTTCTTAAACATCCCAGTTAAAACTTTCCATCATGGAAGTAGAGGCTTTCCATGACTTTTAAAATGCTATTTAGAGAAAATTGTCATAAATACTACATAGAGCTTGGGGTGGTTTGGAGCTTACGAATCAATGGACGGCCTAAAACTGTGGAAAATGATATAGAGCTTATCTCCCCACCTTCACTTTGGTGTTTATGTGATGCCTCATGTAGTTTGTTATATTGTTACTTTTTTGCTTTTTTCGCTTGGTTAAAAAAGCTGCATGTCATTTATTTCATTAAGAATTTATAAAAGCCTCTTTGAGTCCTTCCCCATTCTCAGATGTCCCTTTTCTTTCTCTGGCACAGTCCCAGCCACCTAAACACGATCCAGAAAGCTAGGCAGAGACCCACCAGTGCCACCGTGGAAACAGAGGAAGCGTATTAATCCTCCGTGTTTCAGTGAGAGAAAACACAATATTTTGTGTACTTTACATTGGAGTGGCCGGGAGGCCAGTTCTTGCATTATTGTGTCTTAATCCTTTCATATGGGCCAAACGAGAAGTTGATGAATTTAAGCAGACAGGTATCGCCATGCCGCACAGAGTGTGCGGGTGCACCAGGCCAGCCTGTTCCTGCAAGAGAGAGACGGTGGTTGCATTTTGCCTTCAAATAAAGGTCATGCGGATTGTCGATGCAGACGACGCTGGGTTCCCCGCCTGGTCGCCTCTGCCCGCCGAGGCTTACGGGAGCGTGTGGTCCAGTTCTCTGAGCCTGAAGTCGGGCAGTTTACAGGTCGTGACATCAGGCCTCTGAATTCACAAGCCAGTGTTTCACGGCCTCTTCTCTCTTTCTCATACAGATGCCCTGAGGGCTTCTTGGGAGAATATTGTCAACACCGAGACCCCTGTGAGAAGAACCGCTGTCAGAACGGCGGGACGTGCGTGGTCCAGGCCATGTTAGGGAAAGCCTCGTGCCGCTGCGCCCCGGGGTTCACGGGCGAGGACTGCCAGCACTCCACCTCGCACCCCTGCTTCGTGTCTCGCCCCTGCCTGAACGGAGGCACCTGCCACATGCTCAGCCGGGACGCGTACGCGTGCACCTGCCAAGTCGGCTTCACAGGTAACAGCGGAACCGGGGCCCACACTGAGCTCTTCTCGGCGGGTCTCCAGCATCTTTCCACCTTGACCTCTAGCTCTTCCCCAGCTCTGTTGCATGCTTAATGTTCTGGGAAGGAGCTGAATGTTCCAGGCCACTGTGCTTACCTTCTTTTGAGAATTTTAAGGGGAGAGTACAGAAAGAAAAAGGGTCAGATGCTCAGAAATGTCTGATTGTCTGATGTAGGTATGTCAGGACGGGTGATCAGAATCACTTCCCTGTCACCAGAAGAGAGGCTGCTGCTGCCGCTGCTGCTGCTGCCGCTGCTGCCACTGCTGCTGCTGATTTGCTTCCTGAAACCGCTCCCCTGGCGACTCAGGGCACTGCTTTTCTGAGCTGTGACTGCTCTGCTCTGCTTCTGCGCTGTCTCGAAGCCCTGCATTGCGTGTTGTGTTCCATGGGACTCTGTTTCGAGCTCTCTTTGAGCCCATCACAGCTCTCCAGCTCCAGCTGCTTCAGCTGTCCTGATCTTCGCCGTCCTCCTAGCTTTACCTTCTCCCGTCCACCCCCACCCTGACATCCAGGCTCATATTTCTGACCCCTTCATGCAGCTGGAGCCCCTTGCAGTGAGACCCTTGTCCTCTCTCCCTGGGCCTCCTGCAGTGGGTCCCTAACTGTTTCCTGGCCTTCACCTTCTCCCGTCTTGTTTCCCGCCGTGTCAGCGGCTGTACTTATAAATGCAGATCGCCTCCCAGACTCACCGGCTGGCGATGCTCGAGGCCTTTGTTGCCCGTGGAGCCCGCAGAGCCCACACAGTGGGTGGCAACCCCCTGACTGGGCTGTCGCGACCCTTGACAGTCTGGACCTCACACCTCTCTAGTCTCACCTCCTCACCAACACCCAGTTCTAGCTATACCACAGTTCTGTCACCCTGGGACGCTGGCCTCCTGCAGGCCCCGCGCTGCCGCACACAAGGGCCTTTCCTGGACACCCAGTGATGCGAATGCTCCTAGTGACCCTCTCGGGTTCCTCAGGCAGCTCATTTCTACCTTCTGTTATTTTATGTGTCACATTTCATTGTCTGTGGCAAGCAGGCAGGCGGGGGTTGGGCAGGCAGGCGTAAGGGGCTGGGGTGGGGGACCTGACCCCCGCCCAGCCTCTGGCAAATCTGGGCACTTTCTCTCTCCTCTCCCTTCATCTTGTCGTTACCCATGGTCTTGTAGTCCCCGTGCCTCCCCATCTCTCTATGATGCTGCCGTTTTATTCCCTCCCTTCTAGGCCCAGGTGTGCACCCCTACACGTGCATGCACCTGTGCTCCCTGGGCCCAGGTGTGCACTGTCCTGGGAGTCAAGACTGTGGGTTCCAGCTATAGAGGCTAGTGGTGGGAGGGCTTAAAAAAGACTGATCACTTCATTTTTTTAAATATATTTTTTTAAAGATTGATTTTATTTATGCAAGAACCAGGGTACGGGCCAGATGCGCGGGCAGGTGAGAGAATTCACCAGAGACAGAGTGGGGAACAGAACAGGCAGACTGACGAAATACACTGCTGAAGGGAGCAGCGGGTGAGACAGGAGAGGTCTGCCCCTCCGTGTGGGTTGTTCCACGGCCGGCAGGGGATCAAACCGGCACTGCAGAGGCTGCAGTGCTGCGCTCAACCGCTCAACCGCCTGCGCCACCAGGGAGGCCCTGATCACTTCATTTAGCTGACATACTGTGGTTAGCTTTTAGAAATTTCTTTCATCTGACTAGATTGTGGAGTCTCCAGAGGTAGCTTGGAGCTTTATTCAGAATGAACCATAAATGTTTATTAAGTGAGGAAAGGATCATTTCGTCCCCCACTATCCCTATAATTCTATAAATCTGATAAGCAAAAAGTGACATGCATGTGCAGAAAACGAGACTGAATCAGTCTGGAATACTTGCTCTCCTGATTTTTTCTTTGAAAAGAAAGGTATTGGTGGGGTGGAGGGCGGAGAGAATGGACTGTTGCCCCATCGTGACTGGCAGATTGGGTGGTTAAGAGGGTCATTTTCTCCTGCTTGTCAGTTTTGAGTTGTTTTGCTCCAAAGGCCTGGGGAGGGCGTGTGCAGTTACAGCGTCACTCTGAAATCACCCTCAAGTCACTGCTTCTTAATTTGTCACTGAAAGGGCCTCTTTTTGGTGTCTTGCCAGGTTCTCATCATTTGTACTTCTCCCACTTTCGTCTGTTGCTTTAAGAATCCCCGGAGGCCGAGTGTACCCCTTTGTTTTAGTGCTGGCCCCTCTGAGTGAGGCCTTGTTGGCTTGTCCCCACTCCCACGTAGACACGGAGGAAGCAGGTTCTAACTGTACCTGACAAACATGGGTGGCAGGTCCCGGGAGCGTTTGTTTCAGTCGCAGGCAAACACGCCGACACGCTGTGTGCTGCAAGGAAGAAGTATTTGCTTGTTTCTAACTAGATGTTGTGGGACTTACGAGTGTCTTTTATTCATTCGGTGGGAATGGTTTGCACTCTGGGTCTGCCCCTGCCCATGTGGCAGGTGGTGACCTAGAAGGCACAGCGAGCTTGGGGTGTGTGTGTGTGTGTGAGAGGCAGGGGGGAGGTAGAAAAGCGGGGGGAGATTTTGGGGAGCTGAGGGGGCATTGAGGATGACTTCGGTAGTACAGGCTTAGGAGTAGGGCTGTCAGGAGACGTTCACTAGGGAGACATAGGCGCCCCACACAGGAGCAGCTTGTGCAAAGACCAGGGGGGTGAGACCAGAGGAGGAACTAACCCCTCTGTTGCAGAGACTGAGGGGAACCTGCAGGCCTGGGCTCTGTGGTCTGCCCCTAGCCCCCAAGTGCTCCTCGGAGTCTCTGAGGGTCTAGGGAGTGCGTGCGTCAGGGGTTCTTGAGTTGTCTTTGAATTGAGTTTCCTACAGAATTCAGAGTTTGGAGCTTGTCTGTGTGAGCGCGCCCTCACATCATCTGCTGGGTGGGGGACGCGGGGTGTTGGTGAGGGGGAGCTCCCATCACTAGGGAAGCACTAAGTTCGTTCTCCCTCCTGTAGGGAAGCTGTGCCAGTGGTCGGACACCTGCCTGTCTCACCCCTGTGCCAACGGAAGTACCTGCTCCACGGTGGCCAACCAGTTCTCCTGCAAATGCCAGGCCGGCTTCACGGGACAGAAGTGCGAGAACGACATCAATGAGTGTGAGGTCCCGGGCCTGTGCCAGCATGGGGGCACCTGCCTCAACCTGCCGGGCTCGTACCAGTGCCAGTGCCCCCAGGGCTTCACCGGCCAGCACTGCGACAGCCCCTACGTGCCCTGCGCCCCCTCGCCCTGCGTCAATGGGGGCACCTGCCGGCAAACCGGGGACTTCAGCTTTGAGTGCAACTGCCTCCCAGGTGAGTGCCCTGGTGTCCCGGGGTGGGGCTGCATCTCCAGGCGGAGGGTGGCCCTGGGTGGGGGGGGTATGTCCAGGTGGAGGGTGTCCTGGGGTGGGGAGGGTGCATCTCCAGGTGGAGGGTGTGCCGGCATTGGGGGGACATCTCCAGGTGAAGGGTGTGCCGGCGTGGGGGTGCATCTCCAGGTGGAGGTTGTCCCGGGGTGGGGGGGTATCTCCAGGTGGAGGGTGTCCTGGGGTGGGGGCGCATCTCCAGGTGGAGGGTGTGGCTCTGTTGCTCATGTAGGAAATATCCTTCCCAGCAGGGAAAGGGGAAGTGAGAATTTCGTGTGGGGTGGGTTGCTGGTGAGGGAGAAGTTTTATGAGCCCAGTGCACTCTATAAACTGCAGGGGGTAATTTAACTTGTCAGGGTTTATGATGATGAGTGACTAGGAAATTGTTTATTGTCCATTTTGGAGAATAAGAGAAACAGAACTCTGGGAACGGGACAGACAAGCCTGTAAAATGGAAGGGGACACAATGAGAATTAGACATGGAAAGAGGACGTGTCAGTAATAAAGTACTTTAAATGGAGTTGACAATAACAGCAGGCGATTGACTTTCCTACTTTCACCTCTGATGGAATGATTTTCCTGACCACCTAAATGTACCCACGTGCCCTCTTCTGTGATTTTCCCTGGGCTTCTGGCCTTCAGAAACTCACCCAGTGTTCCCTCTCTGACTTTGGGGTACCCTGTCCTGAATTGAAGCTGGAGAATTTGGAACTGGGGCGGGGGTAGTGTTTTGTTAATCATTTTTTGATGAGGTCTCAGCAATTTTATATGGCATAGTCATATATAAGTAAGACGGAAGGAAAAAGAGAAACAGTTTATGGGGGGCAGCGGGGGGCTCAGTGTTCTGAAGCGAGGGAGAAAGGGGCAGGCCTGGCCTGGTCACTAAACTCCTTGAGAAATGATGGGAAGGTTGAAAACTGAGAATTTTGATTGGGAACAGAACACAGGCAGCTGGAGCAGATGAATTACTAAGCAACAAAGATTCTGTTTTTATACAAATATCTTTAGTCCAAAAACAAAAGAAGGAAAGCCGTAGGGGGGAATAATGTGCTCAGTAAGCAGAATTGCCTCAAAAAGAAGTTGTTCTGACCACTCTCCCCGAGTGGGAATCTGAGACTCCAGTCTCATGGATGCGGTTCACATATAATAGGACCGTGTGTTTTATCTCCCGGGAGTTAAAGGTCATATGTTGGTCCTAAGTATAAAACCAAATGGTAAATGTGTTCATTTCATTCCGTAGACACTGATGGGCTACCAGCTACGTTCTGGGCACCCCGCTGTGTGCTTGGGATACACGATGCAAGACATCCCACGTCATAGGAGACCTTGTCATTTCACGCTGAGCCCCCAGAATGAGCTGTGTAATGGCACTGCTTTCAGTTTCTCTCTCTCTCTTTTTTTTTAAGATTTATTTATTTAGACAAGCACTGGGTACAGTCAGAAGCACAGGAAGGTGAGAGAATTCACCAGAGCGGGGAGCAGAACAGGCAGACTGACGAAATACACTGCTGAGGGGAGCAGCGGGCGGCAGGAGAGGTCTGTGTGCCATGTGGGACCCTCGCCCGGCGGCTGGGGATCGAACCAGCGCTGCAGAGGCTGCGGGCAGCTTCGCAACCCAGCGCTCAACTGCTGCGCCACCGAGGAGGCCCTGCTTTCAGTTTCTCTTTCAACAAAAACTGGACAGTACTGTCATCCTAGATGCTAAGTCCATTCCTTATTAACATGATGCCACCATCATCTCCATTATCCTGTAGAAGGAACAACTAAAAGATAACTTTCCTCCTTCCTGCTTGTGTTAGCATTTTAAGGGTTAAAGAAAAAAAAAAACGAAATATAAACTGTTTAATTTTGTAAATATCCTAATAGTTTAATAGTGTAAGTGGCTCGTAATTGAGGTTATGTGATTTATTGTCAAAGGCTAAATGTGTTTTTCAGCTTCAAGAAAATTGCTCGTAATAATTGCCATCACAAGAGGTTGATTTGGCAGCAAGATACTGACGGGAAGTCAGAAGTCAATAAAGGAAGTTTTTAGCTAGGAGAGAGTGATTACTCACCCCCATAGTCTCCGCGTTGTTATCCATTAGCCACGATAAGAACCATAGGGAATTCTGAGAGTGTGTGCAGGAAAGGATCTGTCAGACCAGAATAGTATCTCCTCCTTGAGAAAGGAAATAACCAGGGATTCCGCCACGGAGAGGCTGCCAGGGCTAGGGGGCTGGAGCCGGAGCCTTTGGCTGTCTTTTACTCTCCAAGCGACACTCATGCATGAAATGTGTGTGTGTGTGTTGGGGACCGTGATGGGGGGGCGGGGGTTTTGAGGGGATAGAATATTTGGCAGAGAGAAAACGAACACATATTTAATGCCTTTTGTGAGCCAGGCACTGTGCCAGGTTCTTCTGCATCCACTAGCTCGATTACACAAAAACCATGGAGGTGGGAGGGGGTAGGTGTTATTTTTTTGAGTTTTCCCAGGTGAAATAATTGGGGTTTAGAGATCTTACATGATTACCCAGACTCGCAGAGCTGACCTGCGGTGAGGCTGAGGCCTGAACTCTGAGTATGGGCAGAGTCTCCCCAAAGCCCTTCCTTGTGTGTCTGCTGTACCACGGCTCACCCTTGTCTGCCCTGAAGGTGCTTCAGGAAGGAGCGAGACCTTCTAGGTGCTTTGAGATGCGTGGGTCAAAAACAGAGCGGTTGATGTATCTGAAAGAGGACATACCCGTAACTGTGATCCCGTATTGTTACGTGTCCGCCTACCTAAGGCATCGTGCAGACACGGAAACAAGAGTTCAGCAGACTAGTTCTTGCCTTCTGGGCTCCCACGATGTAAAACCAGGGACATCAGCTTGGACAGGGTATGGAAGGAAATTCAGAAGATTTCAAAACAGTGGAAGATATGGTAACATTGTGAGTAAATATGAATTTATACATCTTGCAAGATTCTGTGCTGTTTTTATGTCCCAGGTGGAGCTTGGAAAAAATTTGCTTTATTTTTCCATAAGGACATAGCGCTGGAGCAGCTTTTCTTTTAGAAAATTCTTTCATAAAGCAGTACCACTTTCCCTGCTGCTCCCGCCTTGGCCCTCCATGCGTTACTTAAAATAATCATCACTGCCTCACTGTAAATGACACCCCAATTTCAGGAGAATCATTTTTCAGTTCTAAAAACAGGGAAACTGGGTCAACAGAGGCAGAGTACCCCACTGTGGCTTTCTGCAGCTCCCCAGTGCTGCTTCCTGCCCCATCCAATCTTTGCACTTTTAATTGAGGCCGCCCCATCTCTGTTTGGTACGGTGACCACCCTGTCCCCCTTAATTGCCAGCCCTGGTCTACATTTTCTTTTCCTTTTCTGCAATTCTTGCCATCTTCTTAGTATATAATTTGCACTATGTAATTTACCTCATTATGTCTATTGTTTATTGTCTGCCCCTTCCAGATTCTGCTACCTCTCCCCTCGAGAGCGAAAGCTAGAATCTTTGTTTTTGTTTGGCGACATGTCCCGAGCACTTGAGACGGGCGCCAGGTACGTCAGGACAGGCGTACAAGGACCCATGGGCCGGCTAGGGCTGGTGTCGTTTTGAGGTCCTCACCCTGGCCCGGCGCATCCTAGGCTGAGTCTGGCTCCTCTTCTGTGCTTGGATGCGCTAATCCCGGGAGAGAAATTTAGAGCTCGTCTCAACTCCAGAAGTCAGCCATCACCACAGACGTCAGCGATGATCTCCTTGTGGCGGAGTTACCGTCCTCACCTCCCATGGGGCACTGCAGTCACTGTGACTTGATTTCAGTAGTGTCGTAAGACTTTTGGAAGGAATTAAAACTGCAAAAGTGACTCACCCTGTGTGCAAAGAAAGAAGTGCTGCTCTGGAAGGGAAGGAAGGAAAATATCTTTAAGAGGAAACTAACAGGTTCAAACCGAGGAGCCTGCTTTCACCTTCCCCTTGGGTCTGCGGCGCTCAGCAGTCGAGGTCCTGTGTGAGCGGCCGCTAGTCAGGCTTCAGCAGAGGTCCCGGGACGCACGCAGCCAGCAAGAGCTCAGCTACGAGCAGGATAGAAAAGGGATGATTGAGTCGGTGACTCCCAGTATTTTTGAGTTAAACCAACTACAGGAGAGAGAACGAGTTAGGCTATTGGTTTTTTTTTTTTTTTTTCAAAGATCTTATTTATGCATGCATGCGTGCAAGAGCTGGGGTGCAGGCCAGAGGTGTAGGGGTGAGAGGATTCACCAGAGACAGAGCGGGGAGCAGAACAGGCAGATCTACTGAAATACACAGCTGAGGGGAGCAGCGGGCGAGACAGGAGAGGTCTGCTGTGCCACGTGGGTCAGCTCCCTGGCCAGGGATCGAACTCAGGCAGTGGCAGTGATAGCTCTGAGACTGAAGCCCTGGGCCACCAGGAAGGTCCCTTAGGCTGGTTTTATGTTTGTGGACATCTAATGAAGTGGCCCTGGTGAGCTCGGAACAGTGGGCGGAACCTGCTGAGAGCTATAGGTGGGGTGGACAGACCTTGGTGTACCTTTCCTTTTTCTGGCTCCCCCACACCTCTTCATTCCTGGATGATTTTTTAAAAAATCATAAAAAGCTGTCGCCTCTGTTCTCTTCAAACAACGAAGGTTTGTACTTTGTAAGCCTCCTCTGTACACCACTTATTTGCAACACACTGCTTGTTTGCAAGCAATACCTGCCGCTAAACCGTAAGCACATTTTGTGACCTGCATATCTGCTCTGTTGCTGAGCTTCAAGACTTAGAAAATCCTTCCCTCTTGCATTCTCGTATGCAGGGACATGTGATGTTCTCCTGGAATTTACACTAATCACCCGTTGGCAGGTTCTGGAACAGAAGCAAAGTGCTGATACCACTTTCCCAGGTTTATTATTTTAGCTTCTTTGACTAGTCTTGCTTGATGCTTCTTTACTGTTCTTCTGCGCTTAGTAGCTTTACTCATGTCAT